CTACAATGGTGAGAGAAACTGCCAGCACTGGCTGTTCAAACCAGTAGTGCTTCTACTGGCGGATTATGTTAGCCCAGACTCTAGGGTCTCTCTGAGCACAAACCCTCCTGCACATTTCCCTGCCCGTTTCAGGAGCACCAGCTGTGGAAGGAAACCTGTTCCGGAAGGAGGCAGTCCTGGGAGACAGGGCAACACTGCCTGAAGTTCAGCAGCCTCCTGGTTTCTCATCTTATGCAACGAGAGACCAAAGCCAACTTGGTTTCATATTCCCATGTTGTGAAGCAAGTTAATACTGCCCAAAAATGCAAAGTATTTCCCACAAGGCTGAGCATTGCTTGAGCACATGGGGAAGGGAATTGTTTGTGCCTTGGCAAGCACAGATCTGAGTGCAATTAAAATGCCAGTTCAGAGCTCCATGAAACGTGGAGAGCATAAACTTAGTTGCAAAGGCTCAGTTACTGGACCTTTGAGTGCATGAAGCTTTTTAGCCACAAATTAAATCAAATGAATATGTTATGGCTCTTCTTGAACTGTTTAAACAGCTACCATTGAATTGTAGAGTATTTCTTCTAGCAGGTACACCTCACTCTTCCCTTCTGCTCTTCCCTGCCTCTGTAAATATCAATCTCTGTACAAGCACAGCCTCATAGTTGAATTGCTCAGGAAGAGAAGAAGGATCGGAGAAGTTGCAAATGAGAAATACTATAAAAGGGACCAGCTCCATTGCAGGCATACCACCACTGAGTAAGTGGAATCAATTTAGCATGCTGCAGGTTGTCACAGAGCAAAGCAGTGAAAGTGCAGTGAATGGTGGTGGCCTATTTTATTACCACAATGATCTGCAATTTTCAGACAAGATGCCCAGCTTCCACCATTTATCAGAATTACTAGCCTGCTGAATCACTGGTCCCATCTTACACGTCACTCAGTTTATGAGCTAGAAACAAAAAGCTGACTGCTTCATCTCATGCCTGAAGAAGCGGCAGATTATGGCTGAAATATTGTTGGATCTCACTAGAGAAAACAAACTACAGGAAATCTTTTAATCACTCATCTACAGACTAAACAAGAACTGTATTTTTGAGGTTTTTCTATTTTTTATCTTCTTAGTTTTTATTTTAGTATAGTCCTATTTCATTTTAAAGGGACTGAGAAAAAATGGAACATTTTTTTCTCTCCCAAATATTTCTCTGATGCCTTTTATGTCTGAGTTTTCTTTATTGATTATTCACATCTTCAGGGTGCTCCCCTCCTCCTCACCACGCGTATCCTCATCCTGCTTATCGCTCTCACTCTGCACAGGACCCTCCTTGCCATGTAACCAGCCACCCAGCTCCTCCACTGTGGATGTATGGACCCAGCTGTGCTGCTGCACCAGTGAAAATGATCACTTCCAACAATGAATATCTAAAAAGGAAACCTGTGCCAAACAGGAAAGTTTTAAATTCATCAAACTTCTGCATTTAAAAACACAACAGCAAAAGTCTTCTTTTCAGCACTGGCACCTTAGCCATTCAAAATTAAACATTATTAGACATTCAGGGCCTTTTCCTTGTCTCTACTTCGTAAATATTTTATTGCAAAAATATCACAAAAAAGCCTACATATTCCAATGCTTTTAATTAGCAGAGCATTGGGATGCAATTCTCAAGTAAGCCAGGCAAAAGCCCAAAGTCCCTATACATCTGACAGAAAATCCACTGACACCAACAAGACTCACTTCACTGCTTTCACCAGGTTTTCAGTCTGGCCCTAGTGTCTAAAGCAGACGAGGCTGTAAAATCAAACTCAGCTAGGGTAATCCATTTTACTTACTCTTCTTCTGCAAAAAGCTGTCCAGATACAACATTGGTATTGCCAGGTGCGTAGTTCCACACTGTCTCTGTAATGCCGATGTAGTACTCCCTGTCCACTGCCCCAGCTTGGCGACAGCCAGAAACCAGCAAGCAGCTTAGGAAGAACAGCTTCATTCTGCATTCACGGACCTTGTGGAAAACGTGAAATAAAAACACAGGACGGGCACAAGCAATTTCCCTTTATATGTTCTCGTCTCTCCCACCCCCACCCTCCTTACCTTCCCCCTCCCCACTCCTGTTTGCTTTGGTGAACACAATAAAATGTTGCACAACGTCTCTGTGTGTCAAGAGTAAACAAAAGATTCTGGTAACCTCATCAGTTCAGATTATCTTCAAAGAAATTTTTTCAATTTCTGCCAACCTACTACGGCACAAATTACCATTTAGCCTGTCATCAGATTGTAAATCTTGTAGCCGAACTGAAAGTACCGTAGATGTAAACGGATTTAGATAAGCTGAACTACATTCTTCACTATCTCTATAACTCTATTGCTTGTATACTACCGAGAAAGTAATTTCTGTGACATGTGGCACAAGAATACAAATTTTAAGTCCGCTGTGAAAAGGTCTAAATGACACCAGTTTTCGCTGGCCTATCTGCTTCTGCATGTCCCTAACTGGACGTGAGCCAGCCCCTACAAGCTGGAGACATTCTGCTGCCCGTTCCCCTTGCTCGTTCTGAAGCGACAGATCGCTGCTCTTCCCCTCTGCACGGCAGTCACTGAGCTGATGAGGCAGGACTGAGGTCACTGGTGTCACAGCAGAGCTTACATGCTGACGTATACACGGATAAGCTCTGCTAACTCACTACAGTTCCCTTGGAAATGTCATTTTAGCACACAGTGTGGCATGTCTAGCTAGAGATGAAAAGGACTGGCTGTTCGTGGCTGGAGGGGGTGTTTGCATCTCATTTCCAAGCAGTTTCAGTATTGTGCAAATGGAAATGAGACTCAGAAATTCCACAAAATGAGCTCCCTGTGTTATCTTCCTCTCGTCTATCACCAGACAGGATAAGCCACATTCTTCCCTGATTAAAAGCATAAAAGATGTACCAAGCTCCAGATAACCTTAACTGTTACCATTATCTAAATATATTACCCAGTGCAGAAAGCTATACTTTTGCTTCACAACCAAACTGGACATTAAACATGGGACATTTAAAAAACACCTAACTAAAGTTTGCAATTGCATTTTTTTTTCAAGCATACATTCATCACACCATGGTTGTGTCTGAATCTTTAGACGTACAAAGCCACCTGTAAACCTGCAAATTGTAAAGACTTCTACGAAAGAACATATAACTTCAGTCACTTGGGAATTCTTAAAAAATCTCTTCTGCACTCTGAGCACTGACACAGTTACACTCATGTTAAATGACATTTTTCATTGTACGGCAACTTAAAAATATCTGTAATAACCACGATCGTCTTTGAAGCTATTTTCTTAGTGGTCGGAAAAATTATGATTATTCTGGATAGAAGAGTAAGATTCAGAACACAACTAAAGTACAACAGGTTTCCTTTAATGACAAACAAATCTAAACCTTATTTACCAGGACTGTGGTATACAGATAATTTGCCAATTTTAATCACTGTTCAGATAAAAAATTTCAGGCACTGTCAGAATATTGGAGTTCATAAGCTCACCTTTTGGAACCTTCTACACACCTGCATTAAACAGATGTTTCTCCTTCTGTCTAAATGACTGTGGCCAAAGCCAAGTTTTCGAAATCTGACCGAATCTATGATGAAATTCTGGAGTATCCCAGGTGGGTGTCACATGCTCAGAGTGATTTCTGCAGGGTTTTTTTTCCTTGCCATTTGGTCAGTGGTTCAGCGGAAAGATCAGCTTGTACAGGTTGTATATGCCCCATTCTGTAAATTAACTGAGGTAAAAAAGAGAAAATGTATACCTCTTCTTATGCTACTTAAATTCAAAGTCATTCCTTTACACTCAGCTGACAGAGTTGTTCACGTATATGTGGGCTATTTGGTTTGTTTCTGTTCAAATTTCCATCAGAGTGAGGAAGAGAAAAAAACCTACATAACCAGTATCCTTGAAATCTCCGCATTTATTTGAGGGTAAAACCATGAGCACTTCTTTGCCTTAGTCTCTTGAGTCCTCTAAAGTCCTCTTCCTTGATTTGCAAAAGAACTGCATGTTGTTTTTATTTAAAGCTAAAAAAACACTTCTGACAGCAAGATTTTCCCATTACTGCTTTTAATTGTGTTTCACCCAAACTTTAAGATCTCCGTGTGCCTGAGCACACTCCTGTTCTCTTTCTCTTAAGGAACTCAAAAGCTGACAGAGGTGACTGAGCTTCCCAAGCCGATGTTATTATCTTCAGAGGGTGTTTGCAGAGGAGGAACTGCTCTCCTCTGTGGTAGACAGCACCTAAAAAGACTGAGCACCTAATTTAACAGGTTTAACGATGAGTTGGCAGTTTGGTGTCACGAATACCCCCTTACTATTTTAAACCACAATACCTCATTTCTCATATGGGGGATACTGAAATGCTATGACTGTTCTGAAAGTCCTCAAAATTGCATTGAAAATATAAAGTTGATCTTTTACTTCAAAAATTTTCCTTAAGGAAAAAAAGACCCAAAATGTGATATTCTGACAAAAAAAGTCTCAACAAAAGCTCCCAGTGAGATTGCATCAAAATTCCACAATTTCATCATTCCCTAATCTGAATGATGTGTTTATAGTCTGCTGCCCACACTGCTGTTCTGACCTCCTGCAAGGGTAAACACCCTTTAAAATTCCGGGGAGCTTAACTGGTCCTCTGCCACCCTACTCTTTTTTGATGGGGAAAAACCCCTCCATCCAACATGTGAAGAATTACCAATTAGGAACTCGTACTTTAGTGAGACGTACTGCTACCTACACAAGGAATAATGCGCCCCAAAATGCAAAGATGGAGGGGGCTCCACAGTATTTCACCAAAAATCTCTGCCCACAATTATTTGTGGCCAAAGCGCAGTCTCTGCAGCTATTTCCAGTTACAGTGTTTCAAACGCATGGCATTGCTCTTCCGGCCACAGCACCATCATACTCCAGCAAAACGCCCCGGCTGTGAGGAACACACAATGATGCACTCCTGCTTCCAGATTTCAGCGTGAATTCCTCACTTATGGAAGTTTATAAAGTCCAATCTGCAGCCCGGTGTATTTCATGCATGGATTTCAGCGGGCAGCACATGCCCTTCACGTTCAGGAACACTTCTTCAAAAAAGGGGTTCTCGTATGGCAGCGCGGCGTGAGCTTCGTCCTGGCTCTGCAGCCCACTTCTCCCTGCTGCTGTTGGGGCGAGGTCTGCGTTCTGCAGCTGGAGAGCCAGACGGTCACGTTGTCTCAGACACCACCAGCAGAGGTGCCAGCTATGTCTAGATGTCAAGATTCCTTACAAGCCCCTCTTGTTAGAGACACCATATTTAGGATTCAATCAGGACTTAAATTGATTAGCTCAAGTCTAACTTTGCCTTACATCCAAAAGCCCTGTATGAAACAAGTTGTTAAATCCGTAAATGCAACTCACTCTTAGCCTTTAGTATTCTTACCACCAATTTAAAATTAATAATCTGCCTATTTAAAAACTGACCATCAAGTCACAGTTGAGTCTGGCTGTCGCAATGGAGATGCCAATATCTGGATTATGGAGAAAGAGGGTCGCAGAATCAATACGTCCAACAAGAACTAAATTACACACCTCTTTGATTTAAGCCATTAAAATAGGAGATACTAGCCTGTGGTAGAGTGAAAATGCAAATTCACAAGAGACAATCACAAAAAAAAGGGTGAATTAAAGACAGCCAAGCCTCGCCCGTGGCTAGCTACAGCCACCAGTAACACTACTATGAACAAAGCTGCCCAACTAGATACTGTTCTTGTGTCTCGTGTCTGCTAAGCTCAAGACTTTCCATGATCAGAGACAGAAGTTACTGAAAAGTGCAAACGACACATACAGGGTCAAGACAAAGGGTGAAGAGTTTCCAGGTGTAACTTTAAGGTATTTCATTCGCCTCAGCCAGCACAGCAAAATCTACCTCAGCTGATCCTGTTTGCCTAAAGATAAGCCTGTATTTTCGCCATGGCTGAGCAGGAGCCTGAATAGAATACCCTGTTTGTTTGCTTTTCTCAGTGAAATGGCGCCATTCACTTCAGGAATATTTAGCAGTTCTAGAGGTTTTCTGCTTTTAATGTCTTTCCTGCACATGCTATTTGCATCCAAATAACCAAAACCTTTTTTCAACTATTTCTAACATTTTCAGAATTAACAGCTCCATGGTTTGTAATCAACAAGGTTCTCCAAGATGTTTGGTAGGAGTACTGGTTCATTGTGAAGTTTTCTTTCTTTTCCTTCTGTCTGCAAACAATATCCACAAATCCACAAGAATGTGTGATTATCATTTAAGTAGATATACAACATGATGTATACATAAGCCTAGGGAAAAACAAGTGTACAGTCAACAAACAGTCCCCATTTTCTAATCCTGCCTTTCTATCATGCATCTCTGGACATTCATGCCTCCTTGAACCGTCTCCCAAAAGACTAGCCCCATTCTTAAACATTACTAATTTCTTTATTACTTCTTGCAACTTAATAGAAACTAAGCAATTAAAACTTTAGATGCATTCTTCAAATCCTACAGGAAGAAATCACCTTTTCAAAACAATCTGATACAGGAAAATCAAGGCAAAATCTCAGCATAGTCTTGAAACAGAATTAAGTGATTGATACGGGGCTTTGAGCACCCTGTTCTGGTGGAAGGTGTCCCTGCCCATGGCAGGGAGGTTGAACTAGATGACCTTTGAGGTCCCTTCCAACCCAAACCATCCTATGGTCCTATATACTCTGTTTTTTCTAAATAACTTACCCACAGCTGCCACTTCTTGTATGGTTTGCAGTTCCAACAGTGTTTAATATTAGATGTTGATATAGCTGAATCCTACTAGTTCTGACATAATAGGGATACGTGCATTACTGAAAGTCTGAAGTACATCTTCCACTTTTCCTCTGAGTATTCATTCTCTCAGAACCAGATTGCTGAATACAGCCACATGTTACCCATGCAGCTGCAAATGAGCCATATGCCCACTTTACTGGGGGGAATGAAATCATAATTCTTTGAGAAATTAAAGAGACTTCTTAGCTGCTAATTTAAAACAGATTGTTCTTTTTAATCTGATTATTATCTTCAAGAACTTTAGCCTTCCATTGCAGTGAGGTCAGGGAATTTAGAAGACTATTAACAAGCTATCACTGGGTTCTGACAAGGTTCCCTCATATATTCCCTCAAGTCACATAATAGTTGATAAAAAAAAAAAAAGTTGTTTGCCTCTGAGTACAAGATCAAAAGGAACCCAGTGGAGCTACTAACGTGTACTAATTAGCACGTCTGACTTCACAGCTGCGCATCTAATCTTTCAATCAGGCCTGGATGCCTTTCTAAAAGCCTTACCACAGGAAGACTTGATATATCAACTTTTTTCAGTAGTTGCTTTGTGCAGTTAAGAACTTCCAGGATAGAATGAGCAGGATAGGCTGCTGCCTTTCGTGACCATCATGGTCTGTCTGTAACTAAAATTTATTCGTTTAGAAATCATGACTTCATGCAGTGCAGTAATTGTCAAGGGAACAACCCCTCCTGACCTAGCTCGGCATTGAATGAGGCCCTTTCGAACAACAAGTAGTACTATGTTCTAAACAAAGAGTGGAATATATAAACAGTTCTACAGCAGTTTTACAGCAGTTTATTAAAAAAAAAAAAAGGTGACTTCAATACAAAAGCAGTTCCACGGTATTCAAACCTCCCTATTTGTCAGAACAAGCTGGAGGGTAAAAAAAATGAAGAATCACTGGCAGGGACAACTGGACAGGTTAGAAAACAACTAGAAAAATGTAGATGTCAAATGGTTCAAATAACTTTATCCAAAATAGAGAGGCTTGAGAGACAAAGGTTTAAGACAAGGGTTTCATTTGTCTTTGCAGCACCCAAATGTACCATTGTACACACTGGAGAAAGCCATTTCTCTCTTTTTCCAGGGGGTGGAGGGGAAGCAGTGAAGATTTCCTTGCCATTTTCAGGGAATCCTGGCCTGCAAATAAAAAAGGAAGGACGTTTGACTGTTCAACACCCACATCCAATCTGAATTCAACACACGCTCAGAGCTCCATAGGTGACCCTGCTCGGCGTCAGGGACAAGCTGATAGCATTGCTTCTGACTTCACTGGAAGCTGGGCTGTGTCCTGGCCTGATGAGGTTCTGTCGCTGGCAAGCTGAATGTTTTGAGAGAAAGTGCCTCAGGCTTTGACCTTAACCCAGGATGCTGTTACAGTAAATTCCTACAAGAAGCGCTCCCTTGCCTGCTTGCCTGAGGCCCTCCATGGTACCTGGAGCTCCCCTGCCCTGGCTGACCAGTGCTGGTCAGGAGACTTCACGCTGCAGAGGCACTGCCACTACCAGCTCTGTCCTCCCAGCGCTTCCCACTTACACGGCAGAACTGACCCTACAGTGGGTGTGTGTGCATGTGTACATATCTATACATGCACATGCATGCTTCTGGGGGTTGCTGCTTTTGCTAATTAGAAATCTCTCTCAAACGTGCTGCCATCACTGAGACTGTTGGCTACATAAGCACCCTGAGGGCTCCTTGATCCCAGTGCAGATGGACAGCGAGATGTAAGCATGTCTAATTTCACCATACCTCCAAAGCTGGGGACACTGAATGCCACACTAAACCACACCACTTCACACCAGCATGCAAGGTTAGCAGTATCAGTTACTTGAGCTCCAGGGTTGCAACTAGTTTTTCTTCCCAAAGAAGAGCTCTCTCAGTTATTGCTTCCATAAGCTACTGAAAACATAGTAAAAACTGATGCCTAGATCACGACTGCTACATATGACCATGCATCTTCTTCCGTTTGCTGTGAAACCCAGACATTGATAAGAATGACTCTAAACTGAATGCTGGAAGAAAGGTGCTAAGAAACCTCGGCTGACATAGGCATAACGGACTCAGCATCAGTGCTGAATTCCCAGCCACATTATTTTCTTCTCACTCCTGGCCTTAAAGGTCAGAGTGAGCAGTCACCAATCCCTGTACACCACAAGGAATTAGTGGATGAATCAAACACAATAGATTTATTATCAGTACATATCCTCTGGTAATAAAAATGCAGTAGCATAGACAATGTATAAACCAAAAGGGTACATCCTCAATTAAGAGAAACTGCTGAAGCTAAACTGACTTGGAGATGCTGAAAAATTGCCCCAGATATTTTGTTACCTGGACAAAAACAGAATAGGTCCCACAGAGCGTCCGTTTCAACTCAGCAGCCACTTTGAGAGAACAGATGATCAACTGCAGTCCACTAAGAGCTATGAGAACAGAGAGTAAAATGATGTTCCATTCCACTATGTTAGCAGGTTCGGTGCACCGAGACCAAGCAGGGTAATCTGTGAGGTACCTATTAGAGAAACAGCAATGCGAGGTAAATTAAATGTAGTAAGAGCAATTAAATGTAAATACACATTATTTTACCCATAATATATAGAAAAGCCACATTGGGGTTTATATGCTTCATGTTTAGGAGCCAGACTCTAGTCTTTCATTACACCAGCATAAGTCCTGCACAGGTTTGTCAAACTCAGCTGAGTGAAAAGACTTATTTTCCTCAAATACCTCTGCTTCATTAGTTTCCCTGTTAGACCCCCAAGTGTTTGAAAGACACTGCCATTTTTTCAAATGGCAGAGGCCAAGTTTAAAATGAGAATTTTCCTTTTACTGATTTAATTTGAGCTCTAGGTTGAGTCTGACATCAGTGCTGTGCAGAGAGTAGGAACACACCACCATCATTCTAACCAGTGCATGCAGCCTAAATGGCAGAGCTGAGGGAGGTGTCACCACATGCAATTTCCAGTTGTTCCAGAGCCATACTTTGCATCCTTGAGGATCATGATGCGCACAACTGACATACGTGCTCTTTTAGCTGTGAGACGTGCTACAGTCCAGAGGTTAACTGCAAGAACCTTTGTTTGACTCACTTGCTCAGTGTCAGTTGCTTTTGTTCTAAACATTCATAACTGAAACGCTTTGAGCCAAATCTGGAGTGCATTATTCAGGATCTGGACCTTTAAGTTCAGCTCAAACTCTCATTTCTGTATTTCCAAGTAGGATGGTAATGCTGGTGATATGCAGCAGAGATTGCAGGATGCAGTTTGGTGTTTTAAATTAAAGATGACTTCTGTCAGAGAAGGCCATAGTTTAGGAACTATTCCTGTTGGATGCTGAAGGAACTTGTTGGTGATCCTCTGACAAATTTAATCCTCAGTGCATTCAAATGCAGCTGGAAGACCTTGGCATTATGTGACTTGAAATATTCAAGTCTTACAAAACCTTGATCTTTTACAGGAAGTATGTAAAATCTTGCAAGAGCAGTGTCAGGTTACAGATCTGAAACAAAGCTTTCATGCTTCTAGGGTGCTGGGAGATGGACAACACTTTGTCTACCTCGCCTAGGTGTTTTATAAGATACGGCAGATGTATTAAAAAACCACCAGTGATCAAACCACAGACTTCACTGAGCTTTAGGGGTTAAAGAGAAACCTGCCGAGCTACTAAATACAAAAATGCCATCTATAGTTTGAACCAAAAACTTGAGGAATTTGAGAGAATATTCTGAGAAAGTATCCATCTACACTCACTCTAATCTTTTATCCTTTACGACACATAATTATGACCATAACCAGATAAAAGACACTTAGCTAGATGGACCTCTGATCAGTACAAAGATTCTTAGAGTTGATCTTTCCTTACAAAGAGGCAAATATCTTCCTTTGAGGATTCTGGTGCTCGTTCAAGAAGCAATATAGGTCTTGCCAATATAGGTCTTGTGTTCAAGAGACTGTGCCATTTTGTGTGGAACTCTGAGGGAATTTGTCTATTGTTTTGATGGATAGTTTTTTCCAGAAGAGTTACACTGATGTTTCTTACCCTCCAGTAGTGTCCTTGAAGATATAATCCCATCCACCTGATGAATTGCAGAAGGGGCCTTGGATCAACCCCAGGGTAAAAATGATGCAACTGTATCCAGAGAAAGCAACTCCAAGCAGGGCTAGTACAATTGAAATAAAACTCTGAAGCAAAGAGAGAAAAATATTACTGTGTGGGGACAGCATCCACAGCAAGTGCCATCATTTAGCCTGCCTAGCTACTCCCTCGGGGTTGAACTTCACATCTGATTGTGTCAATCTTCAAAATTCAGAAAGAAAAATACTAGGTAAAGAATGGTATGCATAGATGTACAAAATAAAGACCAAGACAGAGTTTAAGACAGTTTCACAACTCTCAGTTAAATATTGTTTGGGAATTTTTTTTTTGTTTTTAAACTTGCAGTTTTGCAAAATTGTTTCCCAAAATGCCAGGTTGTGTTTCACAACCACGCACTGAACATGTTTGGACTCCAGATAGGTACATATCACTGGAAAAAATAATTTCCAAATAGTTCAAGCAAGGAGATGAAGCTATTTAGTTGGGGCACTTCATTGCAGCTCTCAGGCCTTCTACATTCTTATTTTCTTTTACAAGGATTTTTTTGTGGGGTGTTTTTTCTTTTGTTTATTTTTCTTTCATCCTGCTTATGCATCAGAAGGAAGGAGCTACACTTTCTGTGACCCCTCAACCCAAATTAGAATCCTTCTCTACGAAACAAAGCGGAAACAGAGCAGCAGAGAGGGCAGAAGGATGTGCTGGAAACACGGGAGCAGGAAGGCACTCAGAACAAAAGCTAGAGAGAAGCACAAAGATAAAACACAGGCTTACCCTGTAGGTTTTGTTACAGCTTTCACTCTGGCAGCACCGATAGAACACGCTACATTCCAGTGTTATCAGAACTACTGCCAACAGAAGGATCTGCAAGGTGACATTACAAGGTCAGTGAAACGACTGCAGATATTAAGCCAAAGTCTCCTTCACCTGTGGAAGGTAGGGACCGCCACTGTTGTGCTCTGTTGAGATTTTAAAGCTGCTCAGTATGAAAGCACAATTACTCAAGGCGCACCATGGAACTGGACTGTTTTTATTAGGCTATCACCGCACTTATTTCTTGCACTTGAAAGACAAGAGCGCGGTGTTTCCTACCACAGCAAAGCATTGCTAGCATGGGCACAGCTACATCAGTGAAGCTGAAAGAATAAAACCAAGCTCACAAGAATCAACACCAACGACAGGAAGGATATTTCATTGATACAGCCACATCAGGTCAACAGCTTCTTGCTGACAGTTACATGGATCAGGGTATCACCTTCCTTACCAACAGAGTTATGCTACAAAAAGTCAGTAGTACAAGCTTTTTGTTAAATTCACCTGGATTTTCATTTGCTTTCTCTGTCAAGTATCCATACTGTTTTTCTCAGACTACTGGATTATTTAAACCTGATACTAGAACAATTTCAGTAGATAAGATTTGGACTCCAGAACCACAAGCTGCCACTCAGAGAGGCACGGGTTTGGAAGGGGAAATATGAAAAGGGAATCCCTGTTTCTGAATCACAGCACTATCCTCTCACATGTCGCTCCCCAGTTTGTAGCAGGATAATATAGAAGTTTTTAATAAACGGGTAATAATCCTAAGGCTAAAAATATTTCAAAACATTAATTAATCACAGTTGCAGTTAACTTTTTCCCAAATTTTCAACTAAGCTTTTCTGTTCAAATTCTCTGCCTGATAGTTTTTTCCTCCGCTAAAAAAGACAAGGTTTTTCTTGTGCTTTAGGAAGTATACACAATTTCACAAGAAAGTCTCATGTTTTAATAACTGTCCCAGTTCAGCACCTTCATAAAAACACCTTCCTTATGTAGATGAGACCTTTTAAGTACTGATTGTGTGCATGCACTTCTGCCTTCTGTCCCTGAGGCGACACCTCTTTCTGAACATAGCGACCAGTATGAGCAGTGGGCAATTCTGTTGGTTTATGACTGCAGATGAACATATTACAAATGTAATGGAGAAAATCCAACTATGCCAATCACAGTGAGACAATCTTCTGTATTTAGCTTAACAACAGTGGTACTTGATGCATTGTGAACTGCATCCAGTCCTCCAAATACTGGACTGCATACAACTCTTAAAAACATCTCAACAGCAATGAGAAGCTTTATTAGTTTTTCTTTCATTTTGTTTTGGTAAGAGAGCTCTAATTCAGCCTCCACAGAGGATTAAATCAACATAGTGCCTGCCTCCATAGTACAAGCATAAATTGCACATAAACAAGAAGCCAGCAGAAAAAAACCTACTCTGCAAAATCACTTACATGAAATTAAACAGCGTACATATCATTCAGCATATTCACATTTTTTTCAGTTTGATTGAGTTTTTCTGCCTGCTTTGTTTTTGCCAAAGTAATCACTATTCTCTTTAAAAGCACAATTACACTGCTGCACAGTAACCCAGTATTATTTGCAGTAGAATGCAATGCATTAAAAACCCACAGACTCAACACTTACCATCACACCTGAGAAACAGATCCCTTCAAAATACCACACGTAGTTGGGAAGCAGGTAACTGGCATCATGTGACGCTTTCCCATTAGGGAAGTACAATAGGATGTTAACAACAATACTCCAAAGTGCAAGAGGTATCAGCAGCCAACTCAAACAGCTTCCACACGTCTCTAAAGCCATCTCTCAAGAACTTCAGAAGTTTTGCTCTTCTAAGCTAAAAAAAAGATTACAAGGTTTTAAATATGAAAAGTCACTTCGTATCCACAGGAACCAGGTGACTGGGGCATATATGATTCCGGAGACAGAGACGTGCTTAATGGTTAGCAGAACAGATGAATATCACTGTCTAAGCTCATTGTCCTTTCCAAACATATGTCTTTAAGTAGAAGTTTCCCTTCTAAAAGAGCCTCCTTTGTGATCTTCCAAACAAAATACGTCTGGAAGTCAGACTCAGGAAGGAACTTCAGAAATCTCATTTCCTAGTGACTGCTTAGAAACACACTCCTCCCGAGAACAAAGATTATGATGCAGATAAGCTGTGACACGAGGCAGGCATCTCATCCTTACTGCAGCTCACAATTTTTTCTCCCTTACATGGGGAAGAGGGCTGCCAAATGGCACGGTATGTCCAGTATCTGCACAGAAGGCCGCACACTGATTCACATCACAGAGGATTAATACCAGAACTCGGCACGTACGGCCCTATGGGTGAACCAACACTTTCTGCTAATGTGGGGCAGCCTCGCTAAAACACCAAGCTGAGTCTCAGCTACCTTGCAGAGAGTACAGAAGCCCAAATAACACAGGTTAGAAACTGACAGGCAAGACTTGTTGTCACACTTGAATTAATTACTCTTTTCCACGGCATTATGCAGCTCAACTGTTCTACGAATTAAATCCTGCTGTTTCTCCAGTTGTTTTATTCTGTGCTTACAGCTGAGTATGCATGGCTACACATCTGACCAAAGTACACGTAACTTCTCGTACAGGACAAAAGGTCTGGCTGTTTTTCGAAATGCCTGCCTTTTGGCACCGTGCAAAGCCAAAGCCAGGCAATTCCTCATTTTCATGTGTTGCAATTCCCTAAGCAACTAAACATCCATCCCAGTAACACAAAACTAGAGTTGTTTGAACGCTCAAGCACAACCCAAGTCGTCTTTTCATGCCCCTGTGAGTCATCAGAAAAGTAACTCTGGAATGAGCTTTGGGTTTACTCAATAGGAAAGTCGCAGTCAGAGAACAAAAAAAAATTGGGGCACTATCAAAAGCAAGAAGGCTGATTTTAGAAGCAGTGATGTCATGGCATATTTTCTTTCTGTTTCCTCATGAGCTGTTTTAGGCTCTGCATACACAAGTCTTCTCTCATAATCTCATAAAAGCTGTTTGGATTGCATGTTGTAACTAATTCCTTCCTATTGCTTCCAGTGAGATCACCCCAGGAAATGGGCATGGTGGTACTCCTGCAACTACACCACTTTTCTACCCATTCTCTGCTCCGACTCTCCTGTTTCCTTCTCCCCTTCTTTTTCCAGGTTTCATGTTGAAGTCTTCAGACTTCACTGTTTTACTCCCTAACCACTACAGACACCTTTCTCAGGCTTCCCGCTAGTCAAAACTAGTGGCAAACCTCCCTTTGCAGGCTCACAGGCATGGACAGAACTCGTATCATCGACACTGTGCCTTACAGATCAGAGAAAACAGCTGAATTAAAAGCAGGCACATCACATCCCCAGGACTGATTTTTTTATTGCAAAACTCTGAGATCATGTAATAGGCTGAAAGCCTTTTTCCTAAAAGCGAAGGTCAAAATTACCAGCGAGCTGCTTAGTTTATAATCAAATTTACTGCAAGTTCCCATAGTAACCTGTTCTGATGAGAAGAAACTCACTTGGAAAATGACACCTGAAACAGCATTCATTCTGCAGTACAGCAGTCCACATCATGACTTATTTTGTATTTAAACTGAGCTTTGCAAATACCAAATCAAGGTGTGTTTTTTTGCTGGCACACTATACTGCTAGAACAGGAAGCAACCATTTTATACTAAGCATTAAGCAAGCCTGGCAACCAATTTCTCCAATATCTTACCAAGTGTTGCAAGAACTGCTTTACTGTCAATATCCACGAGTTGTTGCCAAGCCCATTACCGAAAAGCCATGTTTACTCCAGATGAGCGACTTAGCTGCTAACTGATATGAATTTAACCTAAACCAGCCACTTTTCCATTATGTAACTGATAAAACTCCTAAAACACTGTCTTATACCTCAGGCAACAAAGGAATTCAACTGGCCTTTGTTTAAATGACAACATAAACAGTGAGTAGTAACGCTGTACATTAGTGCTACATGGATATATCCACAGTTTTAATTCTAAACTCTAGCCAAATCATTCTGTTCATTGGAATTTCTAAAATTGTTTCATTTCTTTAATTAATTGTGTGTACCAGAAAGGCAAGTAACAATTATGCAAGCATAAAGGCAAAAACCTGTAAGTTGTGTGGGAATTATACCCTGTTCCATCAAGACCCTCTTCTCCTCCTCCTCCTCTTCTTACTCCATACTTCATTTACAGTTGCAGATCCTTTTTCAAACAGTGGTTCTCCACATGCAAATATACCATACTGCACAGCAGCAAGGAATTTTGTGGGTGTATATGCATGTGTATATGCATATTCAAAAGCGACTTCAGGGCACTGGGGCGACTGGTTGAGGGATCAGGGGCGCAGGTGGTGTTTTCCTCCATCCCATCAGTGGCAGGGAACAGCACTGAAAGGAGCAGGAACGCTCACCTGGTTAACAGGTGGCTCAGGGACTGGTGCCATTGGTCCAATTTTGGCTTCTTTGATCATGGGGAGGTGCACACAGCACCGGGCCTGCTGGCGACAGGTGGAGTGCAGCTATCTTAAAGGGGAAAAAGGATTCTTGGCCATGAGCTGGTGGGGCTCATTGAGAGGGCTTTAAACCAGGTTTGAAGAGGGAAGGGGACATCGCCCAGCTCACTAGGGATGAGCCTAGGCTTGGCATGCCAGGGTCAGAGGGGAGATTGACAGCCCAGCTCAAGTGTGTTTACACCAACGCACGTAGCATGGGCAATAAACAGGAGGAGCTGGAAGCCATTATACAGCAGGATGGCTACGACTTG